TGGGCCTCCGAGGCCCTTGCGTCGTTGCCGCGCATCCTTATGATGCAGTGGCCAGTCCACAAGAAACCTTCCACAAGAAACCCAACCCTGAGACCCCAGGACGTGCGCGCGGCTTCTGGGGGCCGCGCGGGGGGGCGGGCCAGACCCACGCGAGCAACATCGCTGCTGTCGCATCGCGATCGGCGATCGGGTGACCCCCCAGTGGGCCTGTGCCAAAGCTCTGCCGTGTAGTCGGAATAACTATATTTCTTCCCAGCCATTTTCGGGCTCCCTGGCCCCAGGACTGTCCAACAACGACTCGGGCCGAAGAGGTGTCCCTGGGTGGTCCAGGGCCCGCCTGCCTCAGGGTCCGCCTGCTTCGTGCCGAGTGGCGGAGGGTGGTTGGTCGAGGGGGACGAGGGCGTTGGAGAAGGACCCAGACCCCCGACGTCGAGATTTTGCTCGCAGGGCGGACCCCTGGAGGTCTGGACCCCTTCCCCCAGACAAGTGCTTCAGTCCGAGCCGTTCTCTGACAGCCCGGGGGCCTGACGAGGGCCCACGGAAGCCGCAACTTGTCAGAAAGGATGCTCCCGAACCGCCACACGCACCCATACCGATACCCCTAGGGGGATCGGAGAGAGGAGGACTGGCTATGGGTATGGGTGCGGGTTGTCGGACCGCGGGGGAAGCTCCCGTTCGAGCGGGGACCCCCATCCGACAACACGCACCCACAGCCCCCTTCCGTCCCCCCTATGGGTATGGGTGTGTGCATTGTTCGTGCGTCAATCTGGACGTATATAGCATCAGAGGGGATGGACATCGCTGGGACGCCTCCTGGGGTTGGGGGGTGTCCTCCCCTCCCTGACCTGTGGCCACGAGGAGCCACGCTGGTGCCCAGACAGTCGGAGGATGGCCAATTGAGACACAGCTCTCGTTTTGCTCAAATCCGCGGATCGCGCTGTCGAGTTGCGCTGGAATGCGTAGACTCTCGCGACACGCCCCCTTATCCCCTTCCCTCCGATCATGCGAACCCGAATCCCGACCCGATACGCTCAGTTTTTTGCGTGGGTCAGAGACACGCATGTATAGGAATCCAATCTAGTGCTCCCAGGGTCCAACCTGACCCGTTGTCATGCGCTTCGCTCGTCCTGGATATGCCCTGTATTCATGTGTGCTGGCGTATTTAGGTCCCAGCATAAACAACTAACAACTCAACAAAACACGATTCGTTGCTGTTGCGTTTTGAGCTCCATTGTTTCCGGCTGTCCGGCTACACGCAAGAGTGACCCTGGATAATAGTCACCTTCGGCGCGCGGCTTCGTGGGGGCCGCGGGGGACCCAAACACAAGGGCGCAAGACGCTACTACCGCATTGCGTTCGGCGATCGGGGGGCCCCATCGAGCCCGCACCACAGGTCCCTCCGGCGGAAGGTCACTCTCACGTGTAGTCGACGTTTTAGCGTTTCCGGACCAGTTGATTGCATTGCTTGACATTGCCGTCGACGACGTCCTCAGTTCATCATGCTTGCGTCTAGTCTTGCCAGCCTGGAACATATCCCTATCTCTAAGCTGGGCATCGCCTCATCACATTGCCAAGCTTAGGGATTCCCTTAGTTTTTCAGGCGCATCCCTAAGATTGTCATCGCCTTTTGGCGTGTCAATCTTAGGGGTAGGGATAACTTCGAGGCTGGTGATCGTCCCCCTTTATACTATGAGTATTCAATTTTCCCTGTGCTGTGCTCCGGCCGTCGCTGCTGGCTGGTCGCGGGGCCTCCGGGCCAATTCCGCGCCAGTGTCTAGACCGGTGGGAGGACGTCTTTCGTGCGTTTTTTTTTTATATCTGCGCGCGGAGCGGGAAGAACGGGAGGCAGCAGGAGCGGAAGAGCGGGAGCGAAGGCGTCAGGGAAGACAAAGAGCGGCCCTCGACAAGAAAGCAAAAACCGCAAAAAAAACATGAGGATCCACAACGACGGGCCTAAAAGCGCTAAGAACCACTGCGCCAAAAACGCTCGAATCACATCGCGCTCGTATATATTCTCATGCGTACCTCTCCGAGGGAGTAGAGCTCAGAGCCGATTAATTGAAGGCGGCGTCCGCGATTTTTCTGGCCGTTTCGCTAGGGACATCCTCGAAATTCTGAAAATCGGTGGCACCCCTCACGCAGATCGTGACGTCAGGGTCCAAAAGCACATTGGAATTTCAACATTCTAACATAAAACCTTCAAAAACACATTGTAATTTCAATGATTTTGACTCCGATTCTCAGAGAATGGCGATTTCGCCTGAGACATCCTACCAAAATCGAGCCCCGACGTAACTTCTGGTACCCCAGACCCCGCCTCGGAGCCTCTTGGGAGCCTCCTGGAACCTCCTGGAGCCTCCTGGGGCTTTCTGTACCTTCTGGTACCCCAGACCCCGCCTCGGGGCCTCCTGGGGGTCTCCTGGAACCTCCTGGGGCCACCTGCGGCCTCGTGGAGCCTCTAGGGGCCTCCTGGAGCCTTCTGGGGTCTTCTGGGGCCTCCTGAGGCCGCCTGGGGCCTCCTGGGGCCTCCTGGGGCCTCAGAACTACATGCACAGAGACACAAATCACACCCAACACATCACACGCTAGACAAACATAACACACATAACACCTACAACGCACAGAAAACACGCACAATACAGAGCACACACATCACACACACACAACACTCACACTCCCGGGGCCTCCTGGAGCCTCTTCCGGTATCCAAGTCGGGCCTCCTGAGGTTTCCTGGGGGGCCCTGGTACACACATCGCAAAATGTGGCAACCCCACTTGCGCTCGAGTGCGACCTCGATCTTAGATTCTTCTGCGTTCACCTCCTGCCTCTTCCCCTTCTCTTAGGCACGACCTGGCGGCGCCGCCCCAGCTTCCCCTTCTGAATCTTCGATCCTGCAGTCATGGTGTCTTCCTGCTTCAAACGCCCTTTGAGTTTTTGTTGGTATGAGTCTGGGCACACACGTGCCACTTGTGTATACATATATACATGATATTGTAAGTTTAATTCTTATATATGTATATATATATATATCTAAATACACATACACATATATATACACAATATATAACGTTTGCGATATGCCAAGAGCCTAGTATACGAAACGGTATAATACAAGCACGGCCAGAGCGCTTTTAGGGTGAATCCAGGTCGTGCGAACCCCGATCCGATGCGCTCATTTCTTGCCCGGGTCAGAGACACGCCCGCTCGTCGGCCCAATCCCAGCCACCCGACGTCATGCCCCCCGACGTCATGCTTTGTTCACGACGTCGACCCACAGAGGCCTCGACCTCTTCCCCAGGACCCGCTTCTCCTCCTGAGCCGCTCCTTGGCGGTCCCGAGGCCCGGGAAGGGCCCCCAGAGGCCGAAAACGGTGGAAAACCTCCCGTCGTGATTCTCTCACTGCTCGAGGGGGTTTGGGCGCCCGAGTTATCCGGGGTAACTCGGGTCCGGGGTAACTCGGGTTCGGATTCCCGAAGAAGGAACCCGAGTTAGCCCTGACCCGAGTTACCCCTGATGATTCGGGGCTCTGAGGGGTCTGGGATCCGCTGTGCTCCCCGGGGTCCGTTCCGCAGCCCTTCTTCTCCGAGGCGGCGCCGGCCGCGGCGACGAGCAGCGCCCCGGCGACCCAGGGGAGGCCGCCGCTGCCTCGGCCGGCCCTCCTCCGCCGAGGGCGGCGCGTTTAGCCACCTCGCGACGTCGGCCCCCCCCCGGGGAGGTCGACCCTGCCCCCGAGGGCAAGTTGCTCACCTCGAGGTCCTCCTCCCCCTCGCTCCTCCTCCTCCTCCTCCTCGCTCCTCCTCGCCCTCGCTCCTCCTCGCTCCTCCTCCTCCTCGCTCCTCCTCGCTCCTCCTCGCTCCTCCTCGCTCCTCCGCCTCCTCCTCGCTCCTCCTCGCTCCTCCTCCTCGCTCCTCGCTCCTCCTCCTCCTCGCTCCTCCTCCTCCTCCTGCTCTTCCTCTTCCTCCTCCCGTTCTCCCTCCTGGGGAGGATCAGTCCGCATCGAATCGGTGAGTCGGATCGAGTCGAGATGTGCATCGGATCGGGCTTCATCGGCACAGCATCGACGTCGAAGCGGATCGGCTGCACCAGGATGCACAACAGCGCCGCACAAGCATCGGGCCGCATCGGACCGCTGGGAAATCGAAGTCGGATCGAGTCGAACTGGCCGAAACTGGTATCGAATCGGATCGATCGGATCGAAATTTCAAATGGGCCCTGTCCTGAATCGACCGTCAAGAGAAGCAATCGACTCTTGACGGTCCTGGGGCCGAAGAACGGCCCCCAGATGATGAAAACAACTAAACGCCAGGGGTCACGATCTTCTTGGCAACGCCTGGATCTCAGGGTCCGCCGACCCCGACCTCCGGCGTCTCCATGTTCTCCAGACGCGGGCCCCGTACCTCGCGACCGCCTCCCCCGGACCGGTGCTCTCTCCCGAGCTGTCTTGTTGACGGCCCCGAGGCCCAGTGGGTGCCCCGAGAGACCAGCCAAGATGAACAACATCCGCCTTGACGTTTTCGAGACGCTGGCTGTCCGCCGAGGGCGTTGCGAACCCTGCCGCAATCGGGGAGGCACGGACCCAGGTCACTGCAACCGCGGGCCAGTCAGGCCCTGCAGGATCCTGCGCAGTCCTGCAAGACCCTGCACGCTGGCCTGGGGGTCAATGCGCCCCTGGCTCTGCAGGATCCTGCGAGATCCTGCGCTCTGGCTGACCCTGTAAAACAGGGCTAGGATCGGGATAAATCGCTCCAGAGCGTTCCGGAGCGCTCTCAGAGCGTTCCGGAACGCTCTGGAGCGGCCGCGGCGCCCAATACATCCCCCAAACCCGCCGATTCTCAGAGACTTCGAGTTATCCCGATCCGATTTTGTCCCGATCTTCGCGTCGTTTTACACTGCGCTCTGGCTGACCCCCGTTGGCATGGACCCCCGTCTCTCAAGGCTCCCGGCGCAGGCCAGCAGCAGAAGGCCGGCCCGGGCCCGCGCGCCCCGTCGGGCGGAGCCGCGCTCGTGCCCATGGCCGCGCACAGCGCCCGGACCTCGGCGTCGCCCTCGCGGGAGTGGCGGAGCCGGCAGGTGACGAGGCCGACACCTTGGAGGGCGCGGCTGCGCGCGAAGGCATCCCTCGGTGGCACAAGAGCGTGCCTGCCCAAGGATCGATCTGAACAGTGTCTTTCGTCTCCGTGTTGTCCTCGTTCTCTCCTTCGCTCGGTCTCCAGTCCGCCTCTAGCTGCACGACGAAATCGTAACGGAGACGGCCCACGAAATCGCCAAAAAACCGTTCAGGTCGAGCCCTGCTGTGATACAGGAGTGTGCTTGCCGAGGGCTCTGCTCACCCACGGTCCGTGTCAAACACAATTGTTTAGCACAAGGGCCCATGTGAACAGACGGTGGAAGGAAACAATCAGTGGACACTCCCCCGCCCCCCGAAACTCCAAGTTGGCACGCGCGAGGAAGATTGCGGTCGGAGTGCAACTCATCCGGCCCATCGCCAAAATTGATCATTGGGGGGGAACATTGACACACGAATGCGGCATGCGTGTTCGCCAATTTCTTCCGAGGCCTGGAGCATGCTCTGCACCACCTCGCTTGCCTGCAGTCCGCAGGGCCAGCAGCGACCGAGATTTCCCTTTCCAGGGGCAGGTGCGTCCTCCAGACCTCGCAGAAAACGAGGAGGACACGACAGCGCGCGCGGCCGCTGCGAGCTGGCCTCGACCTTCCAGGAGGGCCTTTCAAATAGCACACCGTATTCTTTAAGCTGAACGTGTAATCGAGGCTCGCAGTCCTGATGCGGCTGCAGGGCCATTGTTTCGTACTCTGGAAGGTCAAAGGGGACAACGCAGACACGAGTACGCGGCAAATTTTTCTTCGGTGCCAATATAACCGTTTCCCGGCCCCCGGGACTGTTAAAAGGAACGACTCGGGATGAGAAACTGGCCCTGGGTAGAAATGGTCGAGATCCCTGGGAGCCGACGTCGCGTCGCGACCCGAATCTTGACGTCGCAAGAGAGGGGCCAGCCCGGGGACTGAGACCATTTCTTTGATCGCTGTTTGCCGTTCGGTACCTCCAAAGACCTCTGAATACTTCCGTTCACACAACTTCGCGCTTCGCGCTGCGCTGTTACCTTCGCGCTCTCCAAGAAAAGGCAACTCTCCGAATCAGCCCGCGAAGCGCGATCATCTTCCCGATCCCGTGAGTGACCGAACCAGCAAAGAAGAGATTCCTCTGTCACCATCATGTCGTTCATTTTTTTGTTGTGAGGTCTCTCGCTCATTCCAGTGTTTCCGATGCGATCCTGTCCAACCGTCGACGAGAATGCGACGACAGCCGAATTAGAATTACTGCACATCGCCAGGATCTGCCCTGCGACTCGGTCGAGCAATTCCCATGGATACCGACTGTAGTCCTTGGACACGTCCCTGGTCGACAGAAAGCGGCTGGACATGTACCTCTGAACACTCGAGGCGTCCGCGTGAGTGGAGCGTCAGCGCTGCTAAACACATCGGCAATAAGCACAAGCTACCTGGGAGAGGTCTTCTTGGCTTATGCTTTGCGGCAATTTGGAAGCATCGACAGCTGGGAAGTATCGAGGGCGTCCGACTCCGTGCGATGCGCCTCATATTGCCGCTGGCAGATCCAAAGATGACCCCTTTCTCCTGCTCCTCCTCCTGCTCCTGCTCCTGCTTCTGCTCCGATCCTCCTCCTCCTCCTCCTCCGATCTCTCTTCGTATTCTTATTGCTCCCTCCCCTGAGCCTGGTCCCCGTGCTCCACCTCCCCCTCCTGCTCCTGCGTTGCTCCTCCTGTCGCCGCGGCTCCCACCTCTACTCCTGCTCACTCCTCCTGCTCATGCTCCTCCCGCCCCCACAGCATCCATCATCTAATGCTCCTTATCTTCCTTTCCTTCGTTCTCCGTTCGTCCTCCGCATCCGCCCTACTTTCCATCCCTTCTTTTCCTTCTCCTTCTCCCCCCTCTGCATGCCCCTCCTCAGTCCTCCTCTGTGATGTCCAATTCCTCCGCGTCTCACTGATACTTTCGGAGCTGGGACCTGGGCCGTTGCAGAGACGCGTTCCCATGATGTATGCAGCTGTCAACCACACCGCGCACCCCGAACTGTTATTGCCTGGGTCTGGCAGCCTGTGAAGGGAGCCAACTCTTGACGTGCCCAGATTTCCCACTGCCCCCCTTTCGACCGAGCGACGAAATCGTCGGGCCTTCCGCGAGAAGACGCCGCGACGTGACGCCGCGACCTACGCGGGCCGCCGGCGTGGCACACACCGTGCGGAGAAGAGGGCGCCCACGCGCACGCGCCACTCTCCACGCGAGGAGCTCGCGCGCGCGGGCCCGCGCCGTCGACCCCCGCGCGGCACCCCTCGCCCAGGCGAGGACCGAGGGCGCTCCCCGGGCCGCGGCGAGCCTCGGCCACGACTGGGCTCTCAAGGCCTGCATCTCGGGAGCGGCCCGAGGACCATCGGGGCGGGCGAAACGGGGGGGGATGGCAAAGGGGGGGCTTGAGAACCAGCTCACGTAGCCGATTTTTTCCCGGCGCCTCCCGGCGCCGGAGGCGGTTCTGTATCGAGATCTGGGCCCCTCGGTGGGGCCGAAAAACCAGCTGCATGCAGCAGATTTCGACCCCCCCCCTTTCCCAATCCCCCCCTTTCGTCCGGCCCGACACAAGAGCCCCTCCTGAGCCAAGCACGGCTCTTCTTTCAGCGCCCCGACCGTGCGCGCGAGTGTCGGCGCGATCGACCCCGTTTTCTTCCGCCGCTCAGCTGGACCCCCCCTTGTCGGGAGGCGTAACCATGAACCTCGGAGAATAAACCCCCAGGGATAGTAAAGTTCGGGGTTTTCGGGGAGATAATAAAAGTTGCCCGCCAGAGCCAGCATAAAAGAGATATCAAGAGGAAAAAGCCACAGATATCTTGAGGATTGTCTCGGTTGAGACATCCTCAGCGAATTGCTTGTTTCGCTTGAGACATCCTCGAAATATTTGTCTATTTCGCTTGAGACATCTTCAAATTATTGCTTATTTCGCTTGAGACATCCTTGAGGGAGGAGGAGGAAGAGAAAGAGCAAGAGGAGGAGAGGAGAAGGAGATAGCAAAAATCCAAAATTTAAAACTTATTAGATTTAATTTGTAAACGCTTGATGAAAATTAAAATTTTCATCTGCTCGTGTAGGGTAGCTCACGTGCCTCGTTTTCCCAGGATAATCAACCCCAGCGATCAACAAGTTCAGGGCGCCAGGGGGAGGAGGAGGAGAAAGAGATAGAGAGACAGAGAGAGAGACAGAGAGAGACAGAGAAATAAAGAAAGAAAGACAGAAATAACTACAAAGAGACAGAAGGACATCGGTTTCGCTTGAGACATCCTTGAGGGAGGAGGAGGAGAAAGAGCAAGAGGAGGAGAGGAGAAGGAGATAGCAAAAATCCAAAATTTAAAACTTATTAGATTTAATTTGTAAACGCTTGATGAAAATTAATATGTTCATCTGCTCGTGTAGGGTAGCTCACGCGCCTCGTTTTCCCAGGATAATCAACCCCAGCGATAAACAAGTTCAGGGCGCCAGAGGGAGGAGGAGAAAGAGATAGAGAGACAGAGCGAGAGAGAGAGAGAGACAGAGAAAGAAAGAAAGAGAGACAGAAATAACTACAAAGAGACAGAAGGACATCGGTTTCGCTTGAGACATCCTGAAACAACGTGTTCGCTTCGCTTGATGTTGTTACCTCAACATAAGAAGGAAGTAACCTCGATGGCGAACTTTTTACGTGATAATGAAGTTCGGCCTCCGCGCCCCCGCGCCCCCGACCAAACTCGTATTGGTCGACGATAAAAAAACTCTAACTACTTAAGGGGGGGGGGTACATTATTATCGTGGGCATGGGGTTAATTAGGACTCGGGCTCGAGGGACTCGGATTGGCCTGGCGGGGCCATCATGAACGTGACGAGACCCCATCTGAAATCGGACGCGAGCTCCCGCTGCAAACATCCCACGGATACTGGACCGTCAGAACTCAAGACGCGCTCGTCAACAAGCGTCGGAAAAGCCGAGTCCCGGCTTACCTCGAGTCATACGTTTCCCCGATTCTGCCACAGGGGTGTCACTCTGACAATTTTCGGCTTCCGGGGGCCGTCTCCTAAGACTGGCAACGCCACACACACACCGGCTCGGGACGAGAGGCCACCTCCGGGGAGCGGGTCGGCACATCCGGCGCACTCGAGTCCTACGTTCTCCCCGGCTGGGGTTGCCTCCGCGGCCAGGCAGCTGCGGGACCTGGTCCTCTCATTGGGGAGCTCGCCACCGTGCTCGCGGCCCGGGGTCGAGGGGGGGGGGCCTCCTTACCGCTACTCCCCGGACCCCTCCTGAGGTGCGTTCTGACCCGTATCTCGAGGCGAACTTTTAGCGGTGGCGGAGACAGGGGCCCAGGAGGCCCCAAAAAGGGGAAAACGAGGGGAGGGTAGAGGTATGGGTACCTTTTCCTCCTCCGATCCTCGCTCCGCTTCGAGCTTGGAGGCGTCGAGGCCCCCCCTCCCCGAGACGCCGAGGGCCTCTCCGCGGCGCCTGGGGGCGGGCCGGGCGCGAGGTTCTCTGAGGACCCTCGGCGCCGAGGGCTGGGAGGAGGCGTGGTCGTGCTCGGGGCCCAGCAGAGCCCTGCATGGCCACTCGTGGGCCCCTGCTGGTGGGCGTTTTCTTCTTCGACGTGTCGACATTGGGCTGAAGGGGGGGGGGGAAGGGGGGGGGTCTGGCTCCGGACCTCTGCTTCCTGCGGCTGCTTGCAGCAGGGTGTCCTGTGGGGGAGGGGCTCCACCTGCTCGAAGCAGGCGCCCAAAACAGCCAAGATCTACTCCTTTGGGGGGGGTGCGAGGGCCCGCGCCGATCGGCAAAACAATGACTTCAAAAACGCTCCCCTGCTGCTGGCGCTGCTGCTATGGTGCCAGGCTGGCGCCGGGAGGCTCCCGGAGCCGAGACCACGGCCCTGGCGGTCGCCCTGGCAGCCGTGCCCGGCCCCCGCCGATCCGCCACGGGCCACACATGAGCAACTTTTTGACGACTGGCTCGGAGGCAGGTCTGCGCTGGATCGGACCGCGACATCGGATCGCATCGAGAGCGGATCGACTCGCCAGCGCATCGTTCCTAATTGGATCGGTTCCCGATCGCCGTGCCCCGCTTCCGGCTGGCCCTGGCCGATGCCAGTGAACAGAGCTGGATCGCATCGAATGGGAATCGCGGCCCCGGCCGGCGGATCGAATCGCATCGAATCGGATCGTAGGCGGCCCTTCTGGGCCAGGATCCGCCAGGCGTTGGCTGATACAGTAGGGGCCCGACCACAAGAATCCTTCCACAAGAAGCCCAACCCTGAGACCGCAGGATGTCCATTGATTTTTGGTGCGGGAGCGTCGCTCGTCCCATAGCAAAGCCATCGAAGCCCAAGAAACTCAGGGCACCCTGGAGGCGAGCAGGGTGCTTCTTGGCATGAGCATCCACTGTAAGCAACTGTATGGCGACTGGCTCAGATGGCGGCACCTCGATGTCGCGCACCTCGGTCCGCACACCGACCTCTGGGCCAGGATCCGCCAGGCGTCATCTGACAAGTCGGCAGTTTTTGAGGTTCGCGCGGAGTGGGTCCCGTTCCAGCAGGATGCCAATGACCGCACCTCGCCAACAGCTCCTTGTGCGGCAGGCACCGCATGTGCTGACGACATCGCTTCGCTAGCTGCGGAGCGCGCTTGCTACGAGTTCGAGGCCAGGGGCCCCACCGGACACCGAGCAGGCGGGGCGCGGAGGCGGCCCCGAGCCGTCGTCGGGCGCGGAGGGATCCGGCGGAACGCATCAGGGCCAGGTCCTGGGCCGCTGGGCGGCCCGCCCCCCGTCCTGCCGCCCCCGCGCCCCCAAGCGGCGTGGGGCCCCGCGTGGTTCTTCCACGCCCTCGGAGGAGGGCGGGGGCCGAGCGCTTCCAGCCTCGCGGTAGCCTGTCCTCTCGCAGCGGGAGTGCGTTTTCTCCAGGCGTGCGGGGCCAGGCGCGAGCCCCACCAGGTTGTTGATGGGTCCCATTCGCTTCGGATTCTGGGGCAAGTTCTCCCTGTCTTTTCGTTCTCGCTGCGAGGAGTCTACTACGACAGACCCAAAGCATCTCATCATTGCGCGCCAGGTCACCCAAGGGTCTCCAGAACATAGCGAACATGAAACAAAAAAACTACCCCCACCCGTCGGGGCCGCTTCGTCACACCCGAGACGCTGAGGCTCTCTGGACCTTAACAGGCCAGCGCTCGAAGCCAGGCTCCGTGTTGGCATCCTTGACTCCCGCTGTCATTCATCCGTAATGCATCTCCTTCTCCTCATCTTCCTCCTCCTCCTCCTCCTCCTCCTCGTCTCCCTTCCTCCTCCTCCTCCTCCTCCTCCTCCTCCTCCTCCTCCTCCTCCTCCTACGCCTTCTCCTCCTCCTCCTCCTCCTCCTCCTCCTCCTTGTTCCTCCTCCTCCCTCTTCCTCCTCATCCTCCTCCTCCTCCTCCTCCTCTTCCTCCTCCTCCTCCTCCTCCTCCTCCTCTTTGTCCTCTTCCTCCTCCTCCTCCTCCTCCTCCTCCTCACACTCCTGACCTCACCTCGCCACTTCCCTCCCAGCGCCCCTGGGTGGCGTTGGGCCCGTGGGGGGGCCCCCCTGCTCCCCCCCGGGGGCGCTGCTGCCGCGGGCCACAGGGCACCGCCTCAGGGCCCCTCCTCCTCCTCCTCCTCCTCCTCCTCCCTCCTCCTCCCTCCTCCTCTCCTCGTCTCGTCCTCGTCCTCGTCCTCGTCCTCGTCCTCGTCCTCGCCGTCCTCGTCCTCCTCCGCCCCTCCTCCCCTCCTCCTCCTCCTCCTCCTCCTCCTCCTCCTCCTCCTCCTCCTCCTCCTCCTCCTCCTCCTCCTCCTCGTCGTAGGCGCAGTGCTCGCTGCGGCGCTGCTGGTCGCAGTCCTTGTGGTGGTGCTGCTGGTCTCCGCCTTGGTGGCGATGCTGCTGGTGGCGGCAGTCGTAGTGCTGCCTCCGGTCGCACTCGTGGTGCCCGTGGTGGTGCTGCTGATCGCTGGGTGGAGGGGGTCGGGTGGAGCGTGGGGTAGGGCGCCGGGAGGGGAGTCGGGGATGGCGTCAGACAGTGAGCAGGGGGAAACGTCGGGTATGACGTCGTGCGGGTGGTCAACGAAGCGCACCTGTCTGTAGATAGCCTCGGAGGCGGCAGTCGAGGGGGGCGGGGCGTAGGGCGTTATCGTGGGGCTGGGATTCAGGAGGTGCGTCGGGAAGGGCGTCGGGAGGAGCTGGACCTTGCGCCTAGCCCGATACTGGGCCCTCTGCTGGGCCTTGTTGGAAGGCACGCCATGAGGGTGGCGGTGCTGGTCGCACGGTAGTGATGCTGCTGGTCGCAGTCCTGCTGCGGATTGCGATTCTGCTGGTCTTGGCTGCGGTGGTGCTGGTGGTGGTGGTGGTGGTGGTGGTGGTGGTGGTGGTAGTTCAGCTGGTGGTCGCAGTCGTGGTGGC